TTTATTGGAATTCTTTTCTTTATGTCTTTTCTACAAAGTATGTCAATAATATTTATTTATGGGAATAGCCTGAGAAATCTATTTTAAATTTTGTGCCAATGTTAATTACTTTTGATGATTATTTTGAGAACACTGGTTGATACTTTGCATATTTTCTAAAATCTAGTTTTGCGTGAAACTTATAAAGTCTCAAGAAAATACAAATAACAAAATTAATTTAATAATAATAATTTAATAGTAATTTGTTTCATATTAATATTTTTTGAATTCAAAATTGTTTTTACTCTCTTAAAAATAAAAAAAATGGTAAATTGACCAGAATGTAACATATTTTAAAAACAATTAATATATCATTAATAATTGATTCCAAATTAATATCACCAATAATATTGTACATGAATACAATTTTTTATGGTCAATTTTCATCGGCATTAATCATTTGTAATATATTTTGACAAAGTAGGATTTTTACTTGTTTTTGTGATACTCGTAGATTTAATTAATAGCTTTACTTTACTGTAATTTTTTGTAAATTTTAATATTTTTTCACATATGTAATAAGGTTATTTTTTACATAGATTTAGTCACATATTAGTATTTAATTTAACCAAACTATAATCACAAATAGATTGTTTAATCTGGCATAATATTATATTTATTATATATTATCACAAATTCAATTGGTATTGAATGATGGCATTGTAATTTGTAATTAAGTTTTATTAGCTGCTAAATGAGTAAATAATTAATTTTTTTTTTGATAATTACTTAATGACTTGAACGAGACATGTTTTGCGAATTCTTAGATTTGTAGTGACAGCCTTAAACACATCATTGATAGTAATGGTGCCTATAAGATCATATTTGAATGAAATGCAAGTTTTATTAAAAAGCATCCATATCAGAAAACAAGAAATGTATTTGAAAACAAAATCTAATTGAAATGCCATATTCTATGAAAAAATGTTTTGAAATACTTTTTTTTCTTAAAAGCTACAATATTATGCTCACTTTTTATAAATGAAGATAAGTGAAATAATGTTTATAGGGCATTGCACAGTATTATATATATATATATATATATATATATATATATATATATATATATATATATATATATATGTATGTATGTATATATGTATGTATATATGTATATATATATATATATATATATAAATATTTTCTGCCCTATTCCTAAAATTCTTAAGTTAGCAATTATAAGTTTTGCCTTAGGTTCATATACAAGTCTTAAAGAATAACAAAAATAATTGAGATTTCGCTACCACTAAGTTGGAGAACACATGATTAAAATTTCATCTTTCTATGAAAATTCATACAATTGAAAATTTAATTCACTAGTAAAAGCAATTTTTAATTAACTGCAGCAATATTATTCATAATACTTTTGAATCAGAAACAAAATGTTCAACTTTGTTATGAAATATAGTATAAGTATCTTTAGATCTTTTCTGTGATCTATAATGATGAAGCTACTTAATGTAAATAACGTATTTAATTAATTTATATTTTCTTTTTGTTTTCTTACCATATGTACATACACATGTATGCATATGTGTGTATATAGGCGTTTGTTATATCATACATATAATAAATACATACACACACTCACACACTCACACACAAACACAAACCTACGTATATATATATATATATATATATATATATATATATATATATATATATATATATATATATATATATATATATATATATAGAATTTGTAAATATTTTGTAGAGCTTCGAACAAAGAATCCACAATTAAAAAAAACAAAAGTTTTTTAAAAGACCATTTCTTTATTTGCACTTTGCTTGGAATCTTTGTTCAAAACTTTACATATATATATATATATATATATATATATATATATATATATATATATATATATATATATGTATATGTATATGTATATGTATATATATATATATATATATGTATATATATATAATTTACACACAAATATGTGTATGTATGCAAACACTATCAAGCAGACTATATATATTTATATATATATATATATATATATATATATATATATAATAATTATGCCAATATTTAAAGATATAGAAGTATTAATTTTTGTAAGTTATATATTTATAAGGTTGTAGATATAATTGTAAAAAATAATTAAGTGTGGACACATGTAATATACAACAAATATAAATTATTGTTATACATAATTCTCAACAAATATTAAAATGATGTTTTGTAAGTGGTATTTTTTAAATGTTTATCCTTTAAATTATTTTTTATTAGCTTTATGTTTAATCAACAAATATAAATACATTAGAGTAAATTAACAGATTGCAAAGCCTTTTCAGATGCTTTGTTAATAAAGACTGCCCGTTTTTTAGATTCCGATGTACATATTGATACAAGTTCTTGATTTATAGGAGTGCCACCTGGCTTGTGCATTAAAGATATCATTTCTCCTGTAGTCACAATGGTCAACATAGCTGTACTCAATGATTCTTCTTCTTCAGTGGGGTCTGCCAATAACCATTTACTGTAAAGAATATTAAATCTTTAATATTGTAGTATTCTACTCATTTTTTTCCAATATCTCTTAGTGCCATAATATCTGGGCAAGATTAACAAGAAATATATTTGCATGTAATGCATACTCATCAAATACTGAAAATGTGTGAGCAGCAGGCATTATTCCGAGTGACAATGGTTTCTTCTTATCTTCATATACAACAGTGGATTCAGTATCAACATCATATTCTACAGTTGGCAACTGAACTAAAATATATAAACAAACTAAAATAATTTTTGAGCTGCATGACATTAAATTATTCATTAATTATTGCTTTTGGCTAACCTGTTCTTAAAGCAGCACTAAGTGCAGCAACACAAACATCTATCAAACATCCATCATAATTCAGACATATCATATCACAATATAGTACCCAAGCAAGTTTATCATAGGCTATACAAAGTTGTTCAAGATTTACATATTCAGAATTTTCTAATATATTACATACAATTTGACTAGCCACTTGCGCTTCATCACAAGGGGGACCAGGTCGAAACTTGGAGGAACATAATGCAGGCAAAGTAATGTTTGGAACTAAAAAACCTTTATTTGCACCTTCAGCTTTTGGGGTGCATAATTCCTGATAAATTTTGAATTATATTTTACATTTATATATATATATATAATATATATATATATATATATATATATATAATTATTTGCTTATAGTCATATTTCATGCTTTCTTTCAAGATTGTCATCTTTCTATATTGCAGCAAAAATCAGATTTTGTGAAATTTTGAGTGAATTTATAACTCACAATACATAATAGCATTACGTAGCCAGCTTTAAGAAATATTGACAAAACTGAATCAAACCAAACTGAATAAACAAAACCTAAATTATGTATTTTAAGAAGTAATTGAATTATATGCTGTGCTAGTTATTAGTTTAGCAAGATAACAATATTATTTCAACACTAACAGCTTTTATTCCGCATACAACAGTAGTTCCTCCAAACTTTGCAATTGCTGAACCATCAGCTGTTTGAATCGAGTTGACATTTATAACAACAGGTCTATATTTTAACAATTCTCTTCCATCGGGTCTTATATTATGTATTAAATAATCTTTATAATACTTTAAAGGCTGCAGTTTCCTATTAAAAAAAATTGCAAATATAAATCATTCAAAAATATATTATAAAAATCGAGTTAATTTACTTATATTGTTCTGCCATTTCAGTAGTATTGGAATTGGTAAGGTACCTATATTAAAATACAAGGAATTTTTTAAATAAATTACATCAGAAGTATAAAATTTTTGTATATAACCAAAGTGACTTGTTAACCTAAACACCGGTTTAAAATTCAAAAGCATGAGGAAAGCATCAAGAAATCATCTGTCAAAATTGCAGGTTTGCAGGTTTCATCAGACCAAATTCATTTTTCAGCAGTTGTCAGGTACAAATAATAGAATTGCTAGGGTTACACTTCAACGGAGACTCCTGTCAGCAAAAGAGCTTTTGTGCAAATATTATTAGCACATATATTAGTTTATTATAGAGTTTAAAATATTACTATTCAAATTATTACAGGATTTTTCAACATTGCCGAAATTTGTGCTTAATATTTTAGGTCGCCCATACCTTAATCCTTAAATATTTTTATAGAATACTTTTTAGAATAAATTATTTTAGAATACAAAGTGAGTCAAATAAATTAAATTTAATTAATGAATTTAGCTACATATATTTATACACATAAATGTTTGTTTGAGAAATATCAATAAAATAAAATATCAATAAAATACTTTATTTATTAATCATAAGTGATATGAAAGTTGATAGTTGCAATATTTATTTTCCTTCCTCTAAATAATATAACTGAAATTATTTACATCAAATTTATTTTACGTCAACAAATGTTAACTTGATAGAATAAATTCTCTCCAAAGCTATCGTCTGAATTTTATATATTATTTGTTATATGATATACAATTATAATAGATTAAAATAATGTTGTAAATAAAGAATTAAAATAGGGGTTGTTTTCCATTATGTTATGTTGATATTTTTTATCTATTTTTACAAATAAATAAATAAAATATATTTTTACAAAAAGATACAAATTTTAGAATATCTGAAATTGGGAAGTAACGCCACATATTAAACAAATCTAAATCCTAAATTAGAAATTCATATTAACTTATCTGTAAGCATAATCTAGAAATTTGCCTTAAAACAATGCCATGTTACCTATAATTTTGCAATCACAGTCTTTATTTAGAATTGTATCATCATAATGCTACGTTAAATATCTGAATTGTAAATAGTAGCTAATTAAATGAAATGTAATGTTGTCAATTTGAATTATACATTTTATATCAGTCATTGCGACAAAAGTCACTATTGTGGTGAGCTTCAGATGAAACGCATTCGCTCGTCCAAAGTCCAAGTCTGTATTTTTTATTTGTAGGAATTTGTTTTGGTACTGTTGCACTTTGTATTTTACTTCTTCGCTTTCATTTCGAACGAGTTGACAAGCACCTCTTAAAAAATTGTATCGAATTTAATAAAAAAAAGTTGAAGCCATTAAAAATACTATTCGAAATGAATTCTTTTATAGCTAGAAATATAATTCGAGTTCCACAAGTTTTAACTACTGGAAATGGTGAGATTATTAAATTAATATAGTTGGACATTGATCATTCAGTGCAGCTTGTAAAAGTATATTTAGAATATGTCAATATGGCAGTTTTTTGCAATCATTGTATCGATTCTATTATTATAACCCAATTTATATATTTTTTAAAACTATAAACCTATTTTTTAGTTTCATCTAGGAGTTATGCCAAAAAACAGACATTGGGTTCTCAAAGGCCTGGGAATCAAAATATTGTTCTGGTTGATGGCGTTAGAACACCTTTTTTGTTATCTGGAACAGAATATAGTAAACTGATGCCTCATGATCTGGCGAGACATGCTTTAATGTTCGTATATTTTTATTTTTTTCTAAATAAAATTATTCTTCAATAAGTAGTATATTTATTTTTAGGGGTTTGATGAAGAAGACTGGTCTGTCAAAAGAACTGGTGGATTATATTATTTATGGAACTGTTATTCAAGAAGTTAAAACGTCTAATATAGCTCGTGAAGCAGCAATAAGTGCAGGGTTCAGCTTAAGAACACCAGCACATACTGTTACAATGGCTTGTATTAGCTCAAATGTTGTGAGTATATTTAGAAAAATTTAAATATTATTGTTAACTGAAGTATATTACATAAATAATTCTAATATATTATTATGTTTGCCAGCATTTTTTGTTATTTTAATAGTATCATAAAGAATTTTACATTTTGATTTTTTATTGATATTTTATATATATGTATATTTATATTCCTAGGCTATTACAACTGGCATTGGCCTGATCAATAGTGGTGTTTATGATGTCATTGTTGCGGGTGGTGTAGAATTTATGTCTGATGTTCCAATTAGGTTAAGTAGAAAATTACGTTCAGTTCTTCTTAGGGCCAATAAAGCAAAAACTCCAGCACAAAAACTCCAGTTGGCATCCACAATTAGACCTAATTTTTTCATTCCTGAGGTATTTAGTTTTGAAATTACAGTTTTTGTAAAATATTTTTTTAATTTTTCTTTTTGCTATCTTAGGAATAATGTTATAACTATATAACTTTTAAAACTACTTATCTACTTAAAGCAATTTATCAAAAATTTAATTAACCTCTTCATATCATTCTTCTTGTTAAGATTTTTACATTCTGCCAAATATAAATAATTTTTAAAATCATGACTTTGTAATATAATTGGTAACTATTCATTGTATTATTTTTAGTTACCTTCTGTATCAGAATTCAGTACTGGTGAAACTATGGGTCACTCTGCTGATAGATTGGCTGCTGCTTTCAAGGCATCTCGAGAAGAACAAGATGCATATGCTCTGCAATCTCATACATATGCTAAAAATGCACAGGAAAAAGGATATTTCACAGACATTGTTCCATTTCAAGGTTTTTTTTGGAATTCATAATCAACTTACTTACATTATTTTTTAAATCATTTTAGTACAAATTAATTTGAATCATTGAATTAAAGCAATAATATGTAGATGCAAACCAATTTTTGTTAAACATTACATCTAAATAAATATAAATGTGGAAACAGTTCCAGGTGTGTCAAAGATGGTAGAAACTGACAATGGTATTCGTGTCACATCATTAGAAAGTCTGGCCAAATTGAAACCTGCCTTTGTGAAACCCCATGGCACAATTACAGCTGCTAATGCATCATTCTTGGTAAATTGTAACATTTTAATTTTGTTCAAAAATCATATAAGTTATAAATATTAAACTTTAATTACCCTTTAGACTGATGGTGCTTCAGCTTGCCTCATTATGACTGAAGCCAAAGCCAAGGAATTAGGTTTGACACCAAAAGCTTATCTAAGAGAATTTTTGTATGTTGCCCAAGACCCAGTCGACCAGTTGCTGCTTGGTCCTGCTTATGTAACACCAAAGATCTTAGAACGTAGTGGTCTGAGTTTAAAAGACATAGATGTCTGGGAAATGCATGAAGCTTTTGCTGTAATGTTTTTTTTTTTTTTTTTGAAAATTTTTAATATAGATTTTTTGACTACATTAATTTTTTTTAGGGTCAAGTTTTAGCAAATCTTAAGGCCATGGATTCTGATTGGTTTGCACAGAATTATATGGGAAGAAAGGAAAAAGTGGGAAACCCTGATATGAATAAGTTTAATCAATGGGGTGGATCTCTTGCAATTGGGCATCCTTTTGCAGCAACAGGTGTACGTTTAGCTATGCATACTGCAAATAGGTAAGTTCAATCATTGAGAAATAGCCCATAATAAAGACGTATATTTCAAGATATTGTATTAATATTTATTTTGATTATATGAACATATCATGTATATTGTTTCTATGACTTTAGGATGGTGCGTGAAGATGGTCAATTTGGTTTAATATCTGCATGTGCTGCAGGTGGACATGCAGTTGGAATGATTCTTGAACGTCATCCTGATGCTAAAGCAAACTAAATTATATGTTCATTATTTTTTTGTATTAAAGATCTTTAGTTATCAGATTAATTAAAAGTCATTGTTAATTATTAAGCAGAGGATTTTAAGCTAATATTATCCAAAATGTAACAAATTTTTAAATTTTGATATTTTATAAGAGAAATGTAAATAGCTATATCTTCATATTTTATACCTATGTAGAAGATAAGATTATTAATAAATAAATAATTTATACAATTAGTACTAAGAGGATAAATTTTGCAAAAAGACTGAATTTTTCTTTAGTTAATTGATAAACAGTTTCCTAGCAGAAAACCATTTTTCGGAGTAAAATTCATTTTTAAATTAAATAAAAAAAATGTTGCATTGTTTGTTTTATACATTAAATGTATAAAATAAATTAAACTAAATATTTAATTAGTTAAATATTTACTCTAATAGCTAGATAAATATTTACTCTAATAAAACTCAAACTGTGTTGTTCGAGCAAGTTTTTTGGAATTTTCTTGTTTCTAAATTTTTATTGTTTAAGTACATATATATATTTCGTATAAATTATTCAGATGGAAGTGTGTCATATGAGAGATAATTTAAAATCTATAATAAATTAATTATTTTTCCGGCCATTAGTTAACAATTTGACTTAATTCGAAATTGAAAACAGGTTGAGAACCGTATAGTCATAATTTTGAGTCTGGTAACACAGTAGTAACGGTGTTGGTCGTATTGGCCACACTAGACAATTTAATAATCCTAGACAATATTAGAATACCCCGTGTTAATAATGTTGGTCACTACTTCTTGTGTTGTTATAATAATTTCTGACACTTCTGTTTAATGTCATATATAATTAGAATGATTTTTCAATCTTTGTATAAATGCTTATAAACTTATTTGTGCTGTCCAATTGTTTGTCGTGATATAGTTAAATAACATAAGGCTGCTCAATATTAGTATCACATGTGACTTAACCTATAAAAATGGTAATTATTTTTTTAACTTGTATGATTAACAATAATATAACTTATATCAACTCATAATTATTATTTTCAGCCTAAACGAAAGCCATTTATAGACAAAAAAAATTCTGTGACTTTCAACTTGGTTCATAGGAGTCAACATGATCCTTTAATTGCTGATGAAACTGCTCCACAGCATGTATTGATCGAAGCTCCACAGAAAAATAAGAAGGTTTGTAGGTTTAGGATTTATGAAACCTTAAATTATCCAGAAAAATAGATTTCGAGCGATCATTTATCCATTACAGCCCGATAAGAAGCGTGAAGAACTACATAAATATGGAATATTTTATGATGATGATTATGATTACATGCAGCATCTTAAAGAACCAGGAAAAAATGTTATGTCATGGGAATTATCTACTAATGTGACCAACAAGGAGAAAAATAAGGAAAGCCGAAATAATATAAAATTACCAAGTTCAGTTTTTGCTTCTGAGTTCGAGGAAAATGAGGGGTAAGATATTCATTAATTATTTATAATTAGTGCTCTTCAATAATATTTTATTTTTAGACTTTTAAATAAAGCAGCACCACACTCAGGACCTAGGCCAGACTTAGACCCAGATATTGTTGCAGGGTTAGATGATGATTTTGATTATTCAGATCCTGAGAATATACTCGATGATGATTTTGTGTTGCAAGCAATGGCAGAAGGTATATTTTCATTAATTCATTACTAAATGATTTGACAAAATTATGATATATTAAGCTATTTATGTCTTAGTAATTAAAATAACAAGCATCATAATTATGATTCTAACTTTTGATGGTTAACTCACAAATATAACTTTGATATTCATATGCAAAATATTTATTTTAACTTTCAATTAAGCATTAAATAAATTTTCTATCAATTGAGATATACAAATTTTTATAGGAGATACAGAATCTGAAGGTTCTGAATGTGAATCATATGATTCTGAATATGAAGATGAATTGGAAGATGAGGTAGGATCTCTTAACAGTGGTAAATTTTCATTTCGAGATGAAGAAACAAAGTCACGTTTTACGGAATATTCAATGAGTAGTAGTGTTATGAGAAGAAATGAGCAATTATCTCTTCTTGATTCCAGATTTGAAAAGGTATAACTAATGAATATAAAATAATTTATAAAAAACATTCAGAAGTTTCTTTTCTAGATGTATGAAGATTATAATGATACTGAAATTGGTGCACTGGAGTGTGAAGAAATTGAAGGGGAAGTTTTGTGCAATGCCGATGTTTTGCTTCAGTATGCCAAAGAATTTGAACAGAGTCAAATTAAAACAAAAATGGATAAAGATGAGGAAATCAAAAGGTACTATTAACTGCTTAATATCTATAATGAGTGCGATCACTAGGTGTCTTGTGATGTTATTTATATACATCTTTTATAGAGCTTTGAAATATGAGCAAGAGTCATCATCTGATTCTGAAGATTTGGAAGTAATGAGTGTTGAAGATAATTCTAATAAATGGGATTGTGAAAGTATATTGTCTACATATTCTACTTTATATAATCATCCTCGTCTTATAGAGGAACCACAAGTATGTACTAAAATACTGATCAATCATACTTAATCTCATATTGCCATATCTTTGATAGCTATTTTACAAAGTTTTCTAGCATATGTCATATTAAAAATGATTTTTTTTAGGGACCTAGAAAGATCAAAATTAATGCACGAACCGGAATGCCCATTAGTGCAAGTCATAATGAAAATAAGTTAACAATAAAATCACTTGCAAAATTTAATAATCTCAATTCAGGAATGGATAAATCAGATGATGCACAATCTGTATGTGCAGAATCAGTTATGTCAACATTAAGTGTTCTCTCTATTCGGCCCAAAATGAGACATCTGTAGAACGTAATCAAAGAAAGAAGTTGTTGAAAGAATACCGCCATGAGAGAAGAATTGAGCGTAAAGCAAATACTGCGGCATTCAAAAATGAAAAGAAAAGACAAGAAAAGATCAGAATGAATAATAAAAATAATATACAAGGAAAAAAATTATCATGATTATAATTTGATGAATTGTTTATTATAATTTTTTACAATGTATTAAATTACATTGCATGTTGTATAGTTTAATTTTGTTAATAAAATGGTTTACACATTATTAAGTTTTCATACTGTTTGAGTAGATTTAAGCAAATAAGTTCTTGGTGCAGTTGATAAAAGTTGATGAAATGGACAGAATTAATTTTTACTTGCCCTTTGATAATTGGAAAAATACTATCAAATAGGGGGCAACAGTTCCCGTGTTTATCATCAAAATAAAGCCTAATGTCACTTTTCCAGTTTTCCTGGTATCAAATGGCAGGGGTTCTCTATTGCGTACAATGTTCGACATGCTTCTAGCTTGATTTGTAACCACTCTTGATCCAATTCTGGAAGCTGCCTTGCTCAGTAGTCCAAACATTTTTCTGCAAATAAAATTCATTCAGTAAAATATAATTTAAGTTTATTATAAAAGTTAAGAATTGCTGTACCTGATTCAGTAGAAATTTTTCAACTAATCATAGAATTATTTCTGATTTGCTTTTGTTATAGGCATAACATAATACAAAACAAATGAAACACAGTTAAGGCTAATAAAACTAATAGCAAGCTGTGCAAAAATTATTATTTCTTGACATAAATTGATATAAATATAATAATTAAATGTGACTGTGAATCTACTTTGATCTTATTTCAAAATTCGAGCTATTTTTTACAATTGCATGCATCTATATTACAAATATATACTACAAAATATCAGTTACATTCAATCATAAAAATATTCAGCAGCAAACTCTTTTGCGTACAAAGTATTCCTAAAAATTTCAATTATAAATAAAACTCTTATAGAGTAATTATTAATCTTGCAATTTCAATTATTTTTAAATATTAAATAAAATTGAATGTTTTTTTGTAAAACAGCAATTGCAGTTTGACAAACACTGGAAAATATTTTTGAATCGATTTTGCGACGACAGCGCCGTGTGGCAGTTAATCTAGTCTTGTCATTCACATCATATGACTTTTGTCGATTTCTTGCTAGATTCTCATTGAAGTCCATCATTAGTTTTTCAAATCCTTTGACATTAGATAAACGTAGTACTATTTAAGCACAAAAAGGTATAATATAATAAAATGGCTAGCCAGACTCAGGGAATTCAACAACTTCTTGCCGCTGAGAAAAGGGCTGCTGAAAAAGTCTCCGAGGCCAGGAAACGTAAGAGCGAATTTTTGTTTTGAGAATATTTTATGATTGTGAGAAGATTTTAAATCTTTGTTTCAAAATATCTTTATGTAATATCGCTTAGTGAGCTACAAAACATTATTTTATAGTGTTGTATTTGTAACATTATTTTATAGAAGTTAGGTGTGTAATCATGTGACATATCTTGTGATGATTTTCTTTGCATAGACAGTTTCAATATTATATTTTGTAACGTTATCAATTAATTGTATTGGAATAGGTCCGGCTTCAAATTGAAATTACAAAGTTTCCTAGACTATTCTTTACTTTACTAGTTATAGTACTATTTGCAAAATTTTATTGTTATATTGACATATAAATCACTATTTCCCTTCTTATACTACACTGTTTCAAATTAAATTATGTAATATTATTTTATTTCTATAGGCAAAGCACGCAGACTAAAGCAAGCTAAGGAAGAAGCTCAAGATGAAATTGAGAAATACCGTCAGGAACGTGAGAAGCAATTCAAAGAATTTGAAGCAAAGGTAAAATTAAAATTACTTTTATATTTTCAAAAGGGAGAGTTTAAAATAATACAGTAAAACCACGATTTACCGGATTAATTGTTGTCGATAGGCATTCGTATAATCGAAAATCCAGATGATCGATTGTATGAAGAATAATGTTGTGCATTATTCTTGTGCATTTATTAAAAATAACAAATACATACATAGATATCAAAGGAAATGATGTTTATTAGGAATTTGAAACTTCATGTCTGTACATATATATTTTCTTAGATTATATTACATACATATACTAAACTGCTGCATTAATCATGCAAAAACTCGTATTGTAGGTATGTACATACATATAAATTGGTCGCTATTGGTAGTCCGGATAATCACAAATCCATATAACTGAGGTCCGTTTTTACTGTACATGTATTACAAAGCACTATCAAGATTAAAATTTATTTAATTTTAGCATCATTCATCAAAGGTTTGAATGAATGAATTGTGTATTTGATGTCACCATATTAATCATATATTTATTATTTTATTTTATTGTTGTCATATTGATTATTTTCTTTTAATCAAAATTTAATCTCTATTAAATCTTGTATGGTTTAAAAATGTTTTGACGTGATTCTCTAAAAATATTTTAAATCAATATTTTATTTTATTCAAAATACCGCATTTATTATGCTAATTGAACTTATACTTAGTTGATGAACTAATTTTACATATTTTCATATGTTTAACTACTATTATAACTACATATTAATCTCATTCAAAATAAAATTTTGTTATATATATCTTAAAGTATTTATACCAAATATGATTTTATTTTATTTTAGCATATGGGCTCACGGGAAGGAGTTGCGGCTAGAATTGATGCTGACACTCGTGTCAAAATCGATCAGATGAACAAAGCTGTATCTGTTCAAAAGGATCCCGTAAGTTTAAATACAATTGTGAAAGATATGCATATATTAAACCACATTTATATATATATTCAATTTTCTCAGGTGATGTATGAAATTCTGAAGTTGGTCTATGACATCAAACCAGAATTACACAAAAATTATCGCAAAGAATAATTTATTTTATTCAGAGCTCCAGTGAAAAAATAATATATTTAATAAAGATATGTTTATATACCAACATTTTTTGCTTATGTGAAAAAATCTTAATAGATCAATCTGAATTTTAGAAATCTAGAATTTTAAATATAAATGTTCTGTATATATTGTTAATTGGTGATTAAAAATTATGAAAATGCAGTATTTGAAACTTAGAAAGTTCATTCCATTATAAAAATGTACAAAACTTCATTATTGTAGGACATGTTATCCGATTATTATTTGTGTTAATATAGTATTACATCCAAAATAAAAGAATGCTAATCTGTTAGAATATGTATTTCATTCTAAAGTCCTTGATTATAAACTAACAATTCATTCGAAGTATATTTTTATTATTTATGTATGTAATCTTTGCTTATGCTAAAAATAATTGGTTTATACTTGATATCATTGTACGTAGTATATAAATAAGACAATATTTCAAATCAGGAT